TGACTGATGCCTAACTGTCCTCCCCTACTAGCCTGGTCACCCCCAATTGCCTTCCCCTGCAGGCCCAGTTGCCTCCAACTGTCCTCACCTACAGATCTAGTCCCCCCCAACTTCCCTCCCCTAAAGGCCTGTCTCCCCCAACTGCCCTCCTCAGCAGCCTGCTCCCCTGCAATTTCCCTTCCCTGTAGGCCTGGACCCCCCCCAACTGCCTTCCCCAGCAGACTGTTTCTCTCCCCCCCACAACTGCTCTCCTCTGCAGGCCTGTTCTCCTCCCAACTGCCCTCCCCTGTGGACCTGATTGCCCACAACTACCCTCCCCTGCCGGCCATCTTTGACCACATGGGGTAGTCACCTTGTGAGAGGATGTTGAGGGTCAATTTGCATATTACCTCTTTATTATAAAGGATTACAATAAAATCTATTTGTAATAAACAAATACCCAGTTTTCGTTAGTACTAGTGGAAGAAAGAACTAGCAATTAGCAAGGAAACATTACATTAAGCAAAGATGTAGAAAGTTCTTTAAAAATAAATATTAGTCTGGTTTAATCTTAAATGTTAATGAAGAAAGTCATTTCTTACAGTTACAGTCTAGGTAAAAATAAGCCCAAATGAGCTAAGCTGTTTAGACAGCCTATCTTCCTTATCTCAGTGGCATAATTTATCACTAGTTGCCTCTGGCTTACTTTAGGGGTTAGTCATCTGGGCCTATTTCCTTTATACACTATCTCAAAAATAGAGATTTCCTGAAACAGTATTAGAAAGCTCTTATAAGAGATGGTTGCAGAGATAAACCTTAATTTCAGCCACAGTCTAATCTTGTCTGGATTTGGCTCAGCGATAGGACAAACAGCTGTGTTTATAAAAAAAAGATCAAAGTTTTGTGTTTCACCATCATTAGAAACAAAGAGACCAGCAACATTCATTGCCTTTTATTACAAAGGAAGGAAATAGGTACTCAACTCAGTATAGCACAAAAAATGCGGCTGGTATTAATGATTATTTCATATATCTTTAAATCTATTGGGTTTCTCAAATTGCTTGCAAAGGCTGAGAAACCTGGTGGCCTCCCCTTTAACCACTGTTCAAATGAATTTTATGTTTATACTAGAGGCCTGGTGCATGGATTTGTTTATGGGGTGGGGCTGGGCCTGATGTGGAGAGAGGCCATGGGAGGTTGGACAGCAGGCCCCACCCCTGATTGGGGTAGGGGGGCCGAATGGGGCAGGGCTAACCAGGGGGAGGGGTTGTGATAGGTTCAGAAGGGCTGATTGGGGCCCTGATTGGGCCAGTTGGCCTCCTGCAGTGCATGTCATAGGACTGGTCATTCAGTCGTTCCAGTCATTCAGTGTTCAGAGATCATAATAACCTGGCTACTCAGTGTATATAGATAAGCCCCTAAGTAGTGTATTCTTTAAAAATTAGTGGAGAAGGCAAATAGCTATATAACAAAGTCACAAGTTAAACAGAAATAAGCTGATCCAGGGAAATTTCCAGGCAAACGTAACTTCGTCCTACATAAGGGCCACAATTGTTTTCACTAAGGTAGTTCAAAGAACACCTGAAAAGGACAGAAAGATTTAGTGCTTTTGTATTTCCCATAAAGTCTGTGTCCATGCATGACGCAAAAGAAGTTGGTTATGTTGAGACTGAGTAATGGATATGTCATCCAATGTGTATTCCTTTTCTCTTCTGTGAAATGAGATCCTCAAAGCTGATATCCTAATTATTTTGTTGTGTTACTGAGATTAGTTAACAAATGATTGCTACACATTTCAAGTTATGTTAATAACAAAAAAAGGACCTATGTCTTAAAGGGCATATTTCTTTAAATGTATAATTATAAATGCACATTAGTTGTTTTGAAAACCTTTTCCAATGCCTGTTAAATGTTTTTGAATGAGCAAGGTGTTAAAGAAACAGCGTGTTCTCTCTGTCCCTGTTGCTGAGCACACTGACAGCTTGATAACGATATGCTGGAATGGAATGCCGCTGCTGAGAACTTGTCCAGCCGCCTAACAGGAATATGTGGAAATGGACCATCAGAACAGTCATTTTACTTTGTAAATCTTACTTGGGTTCAGAACTAAGGTCAGTACTGGTATGGCATAAAGTTGGGTTAAACTGAGTTTAACTTTTTTGAGCTACAGAAAAACATGGAATCTGGACCAAATACTATTTGTCTCCTCAGAAATTAGTTTTGGGCACAGTACTGTCTCATAACTTCCCAATCAGCATTTCTGGGATAATGTCAGACTTTGGACAATTACAAAGAACCAGACACAAATGTGCAAACCAGATCTCGATTTCTTCTCCACTGACGTGAGATTTAAAACAGTAATAGGAACATTTCTAAGTCAGTGTCATTATGTAGTTGCAAATTACCAAAGTAAGGAACAAATTGGAGTGCATGGGTGTGCAATTTTGTGTTTTGGCACAGGAGAGACACTGAAATATCCACAATACATAAGCCAAATCATAAAAATAAAAAGGCGCTATGATTCCATCATTCTGAAAGTGTAGGATTTAGTTCTGACATCTTGGAGATTTGTGATATCCTGACTTTTGCTTCAACAGTCCTAAATAATACAAACTTTAGAACACAAGAACAACTTTTTCTTTTTCTTTTCACAATGTAAGTGAAGCAATCCTAAGAAAAACTGAGTTTCAACAAGAGAAAAACCATCTTAGATGTATTGATAAACATGGAAAAACTAAAATTAAGTGGGACACACACACACACACACACACACACACACACGGCTCTTGTTATTTATCAGGAATTGGACATTATGACCAATAGCTAATTCCAAGTGATACATTTTTTCCTGCCTTAGTCTAATTTAAACACATTTTACTAAGAACAAAGTTTACTAAGTTGGAAAAGAATATCATTATACCATTTAAAGAATTGTATATACTAGTGTTTAACAACAAATTCGAAACTGGAAAATGGTTGTAATACCCTATATGTAAGATGTTTTCTTTTTAAAAAGATTCCAGTTCTGTCCTTAGTAGGTAAAATGTATACCATTTCTGGAACCTGGCAGTAAAGGCATTCCTCTCATTTTTCACAGCACCGTATTAATTTACAAACGAAACACTGCCTGCCTCTTTGACATAGCTGTATTTACACAACCACTATGACTTACCTTTCCCCCAGCAAAGAGTAGTCCTACTGGAAATTTCATCAGACGATGTTTATATTTGGGTAAGCCCTTATTCTGAAGAATCCATATCCCAGATACCAGGCCCAACATACTCACCTCTTTAATCTCCATCCCTAAAACAACCCACTCAATTTCTAAGTCACTTTTTCTAAGTATAAGACAATTTTCAACTACACTCGCCCCATTTATAATTTCAGGATGTATTCCTTATTTTTGTTAAATATTCTGAAATGACAAATTCATATGAAATTTTTGGCCTATCCTGATGCTTTTAAGGCTCTCTGTCCCACCACAGAGACTGTTAATGGGAATCATGTTAAAATGCTCATTTTCTTTTGTAAGTTCAAAAGTTGCTTATAAGGGATAAATAAAACTATTTCTATTATTTGGTAATATTTTACAGTATTAAATAACTGACATGCAAATTGATATGCTATGTAATTTTTCATCTACACTTTAAAGCATATAACAGTTCATACCAAATATTTACATGATTACAAAACTATATTGAAATTTTTAAAATACCTGTAACATTTCCCTATCAAAAGATAATTATCTTGATTCCATAAGAAATCATATAGAGAACGTGAGTAAAAATATAAGAAATCATATAAATAGAGAATGTGAGTAAAAATATTTATTAGCATTAATTAAAATAAACTTAATGCCTCAAAAAAGAGAACTATACATCTCTGAAATTAATTATTACCTGTTAAGTATTTTTATTCACCTTTACTCAATTATCACAGTAACTTCATGAGATACTGATTCCTTTCTCTATTTTATAGGATGAAATGTAGCTTCAACTCACAGGTATGCAGAGTTTGTAGGAATTCATTTAATTCCATAATGACTGAAGGCCAAACCCCAAGCTTACACTCTTCTGATTACATCATAGTGTGTCACAAAAACATGGTGACTGCCTTACATCATATTGACTTCAATGGATTTTGAAATGGTGAATATAGTTCTTCTGCCACTAGATGTCATCTCAAAAACATTTAAATTTCTATAAGAATGGTGAAAATTCATAATAGGCAAACGCTGTTAAAAATGATGTTATTTCTCAAGATAAGCTTTATCCTATATATCAGATGTTCTAAGGATATGGAGATGTATAGTCAAAAGCAATGTGCATATACTAAATGGTTGAGTAACATAATTGGTCACATTTTTAAGAAATTAATCTTTTTAATATTAAATTAAATAATAAACTTTAATAATTCCTGAAAAAGTCCTAAGATCCCTACATATAACAGATTGCTAAGCAAATAAAGGTGTGCTCGCACGCATGCACGAGCACGCGCACACCCACACACACACTCTCTCAACTGCTTCTAGAGTAGGGGTGTCGAACTCAATCAGAGAAGGGGCCAAAATCTAAAATCCAGCCTAAATCGCGGGCCGAATGGTTTACTGAACAGTCATAAACTGTCATTGTGATGGAAACGCAGTGGAGTGCAGTGATGACAGCGCGGTTCGGGCCACATTGCAAGGCCTGGCGGGATGGATTTGGCCCGCGGGCCTTGTGTTTGACACATGTGTTCTAGAGTAACACTGAAAGGAGATCCTTTTTTCCTTTTGTAAATATTTGTCCCTGAGAATTAAAATAGCAGATATTTAAAGTATAGAGGATAGGCTATACTTTGGATAATCCTGTGATAAAATCAAAAGCATTATGTTTCCCTAGTCATTTCTTTTCTGGAACTTCTGAGTCAATTATATTCTTAAGAGGTGATTAAAACACACACACACATACACACAGAACAGAGTAGAAAATTTTTTTTTCAAACCATTAACATTTTATTTAACAAAACAACTGGGATATTTCTAGAGCTTACAGTAGATTTAATATAAAAATAAGGAATCCTCCAAAAATGCAAAACTTATGGATCCAAGCTAGACAAAAATTGATTTCACATTTCAGTTACCCAAAACAACAGCTTGTGGTCGCCTCCAACTGCACATAGTGGGAGAGTTCTATGCCAGGAGAGGCCAGATCCAACGACTACTGAACCAAGGAGGATGGGCTATAAAATAAGTGAAGAATTAAAGAGCTTACTAAATCATCAAAGTAAGTAAAAACTACCCTTCAGAAATAAAAAATACATTAATATATTGCCTTTATTTATAGCAGAATTAAAAAATATGCTTCCTCACAGGTGAAATATGAATTATTTGCTTGCAGCTGACTGGAAGGAAGAATATAAATAATCTACGAATTACTGGTGCAACCCCGAGTCAAATATTTTTGCAGGCTGAAAAAACCAAGCAAGCAAAATTATTATATTTAAATGAAGGACAGCCAAACCAAGCAAGCAAAATTATTATATTTAAATTACTATACTTAAATGGCTAGTGTAACTCAGTGCTTAGGGTGTTAAATTCGATTCCCAGTCAAAGGTACACATCTAGGTTACAGGTTCGATCGTCAGCCCCATTTGGGGCATGTGTAGGAAGCAAAGGATCACTATGTCTCTCTCACATCAATAGATTGATATAGATTGATATCCACCTCCCTCCCCCAATATCACCTTCTCTCCCTTCCACTATCTCTAAAAATCAATGAAAAAAGTATCCTCAGGTGAGGATTAAAAAAAATAAATCAAGGATAAAATATAACAGAAGAAATTAAATGCCCCTTATATGTATATAGACAAAATATCTATTACCACTAGTGATTTAAACATCAAAAAATGCCTTCTCTTTCCAATTTAAGCAGATGACATTCATAAATATCTTTAGATACCCATTACGATTTAGGGGCTATAAATGGAAAAGTAAAAAGCAAATTAAAAACCCATATGCCACAAAACATCTCCACATTACCTGAGGATGTCCTAAATGATGAATTTGAAACTGGCTTGCCATTTTGCCGGGATAACCAGTGGTTGCAAACAAATTTTCATTAATTGTGGACCACCTAAGGAAAAAAAGGGTACAAATGATTTCAGTACTTTTCATATAACTATAAACTTTTCTAAAACAGGTTATTTTTGTTGTTGTACAAAACAATAATTTTATAACCCTGAATTTGTTAGTGGGGCTTTAAAATTAGACTAAAAATTCCAAGAAAGTTAACTATATGTTCTCATTCTGTAAATATTTATTAAGTGCTTATTGCGTGCCACTTTATTACATTCCAAAGTTACACAAGGTTAGCAGTTCTTTTTTTATAACCAAAGGGCTAACAGTGTGGTAGGGGATATCAATAAGGAATCAGACAGATATAAAATATAAAATGTTTCACAGAAACACATTTAATGTTCTTACTGATAACTGTTATGAACTAGTGATACACTCACAAGTTTAAAATTCCTGGGGCTGATAAAAATACTAAAAATATTTAGATATTTAAGTATTTAAGATTTAAGACATCCTACACATTGGAATATAATGAATCAATGAATCAACAAATGTTAATGGAGCTCCAGCAATATGGCTAACACTGTAATAAGTAAAGAAGATATGAGAAAAAAAGAAAAGATTCTCTGACCAAAAAAACAAACAAATTTGTTGAGACATGGCTGCTTGTCCAACAGCTCTTTTGACCTTTTTCCATGTTAACTGAATTCCAAGTGTCTTCTGTCAGCATGTCCAATCCCAAGGGATGAGACACAATTGGTTTCATGCAAAGATAGCCATTCCCAATGAAAAGGGAGTGCTCTTCCTCTCCCCTTCCTTTGGCCAATGATGAGGCTATGATGCCTGGAGCAATGGAGGTCATCTCGTGATTGTGAAGCAACAAGTCCAAAGCCTTGCCATGGAGGCTGGCAGAGGGAAAGGCTTGAACTCTTGATATGTTGTTGAGCTACTAAACCAATCCTGACACTGCCTTCTCCAGACTTCTTAAGTACTATATACTATTTACTTACATCTCTGAAGTCAGGATGTATCTCACAATCTATGACATCCTTACATTTAGTTGACTATAATCTTAGATTTGATAACATATACATATAATACATGTTCTATTGGTTTAGTCTCAGTAAATTTTCCTATTAGTTGAAAATGAAAGAGCCATAAAGACTACTATACAATGGAATATCACTCAAAAAGGAAAGAAAAACAAGGAATGAATGTTAATTTAAGCAACAATTAAAAGAGAGCAAGTTGTAGACAGTGTCTAGCATTTTCTCATTTAGCACAAAATATGCAAAAATATGGTTCCACCTAATTTTATATCTTGATCAGTACAAAAAAAAAATAAGGAAACATATGCTCCAAATTGTGGGGGTGGTATTCGTACAGTGGCAACGTGTTTTATAAAATTAAAAAAGAACAACATTGAAAAATCACTCCCTCGCCTAACCCAAAAAGACAAGAGCAAAAATTTAGTTAAGAAAGCAAAATATCCATTTATAAAATTATCAGAGAAAAAAAGACAAGCCCCAAACAAGCAAACATAAACCCAGAGAGATGAAGATTGAGAAAGTATTCCAGATGGTGATACTGCATGAACAAAGTAACCAGACTCAAAAACTAAAATTGTAAGTCCAACAAAAGTGGTACACTACCTAAATATGCAGGCTCGATCCATGTGGACAGGTCTCTTCACTTGAGGGTAACTAAAAGATAGTATTTTGCATTTTATGAATTATGTACTGGTCTTAAGTAGAACTTAAATTACAGTTTAAAAGGTATTTTCTTTAAATTAAAAAATATATTTCTGCCAAAACTGGTTTGGCTCAGTGGTATAGAGCGTCGGTCTGCAGACTGAAGAGTCCTGGGTTCAATTCCGGTCAAAGGCATGTACATTGGTTGCAGGCACATCCCCGGTGGGGAGTGTGCAGGAGGCGGCTGGTTGATGTTTCTCTCTCATTGACGTTTCTGGCTCTCTATCTCTCTCCCGTCCTCTCTGCAAAAAAATCAATAAAATATATTAAAAAAAAGAAAAAAAAAAGAAAGAAAAAAAAAAAGAAAAAAAGAAAAATCCCTGGAATTACCTGCTTAATGTAAGCAAACCAAACATTAAAAAAATATGTGTGTGTGTGTGTATACACCATTTCTATTGATTTCAGAGAGGTAGGGTGAGGAAGAAATAGAAACATCAACGATGAGATAGAATTATAGACTGGTTGCCTCCTGAAGGCCCACAACATAGGCAGGTGTGCTGATTCAGAATCAAACCATGACCTCTTGGTTCATAGGTCAATGGTCAACCACTGAACCACACAGGCCAGAAGGTATTTTCTTTTTTAAAAAACACAATGGCCAAGCCCTAGCTGGTTTGGCTAAGGGGTTAAAGCATAGGTCTGTGGACTGAAGGGTCCCAGGTTTGATTCTGGTCAAGGGCACATACCGTGGTTGTAAGCTCCTCCCTGGCCAGGCCCTGGTCGGGACTTGTGCACGAGGCAACCAATTGATGTGTTTCTCTTACATCAATGTTTCTCTCTGTCTTTCTGTCTCTCTTCCACTCTTCCTAAAAATCAATGGAAAAATATCCTCGGTTGAGGATTAACAACAACAAAAATAATAATAATAAAAGATAACTTATTTAAAAACAAAACAAAATACCACAATGGCCAATATACTTAAACTGTGACAAAATTCCAAATAAGCATCGGATTGAAATAGATAAAATATGATAAAGACATAAGCATGATGCAGAACCATTATAAAACATGATCATTCAACAGGGTCAATGTTTGTTTTTTCAACGTAAGTAAACAACGCTCTAAGATTTCCTCCTTCACATTGATCTCCCTGGGTTGTGCTCAAAATGAGTCGAAGCACCAATACCCATCTTTGTTATCAAAACCCATAGCTCTGGCCCTTTCAAAATAGACTTGCCTTAGCTCAACAGTGAGGGCCAGCGATATAAAAATGGCTCAGTGGATCATTAACAAGGACTGATTTTTTAGTAAGTAATATATGTACTAAGAAAGTACCTGGATCGAGTAATATCCCAAATTAACCAATCATTCCCTGCAACAGCTCCAACTTTGAAGGTGTTTTTTAAACACCAGTGTGCTGACATTAATGGAATCTGTTCTGATTCAAGAGATAAAATAGCCTGTTGGGACATAAGATCATAAAATCGGATTGTTCCATTCTTCTCTGCAACCATCAGCTGTAAGACAGAAAAATAAAGAAAATTCAACAACTTCATTCACCAAATTTGAGAAGTAGGTAGAGATTCAATTCATATAGTGAAATTTAAACATTTGCATATATGTATTATGAATGAAGGATCAAATGCAAAGGATGCATAAGGAACTGGCATTGACTCTAAACAATTGAAGGATTAATTTTAAGAAGATGAATGTGGTAGCTTCTTAGATTCTATGAAACAATAAAACAGAGTAATGCCCAAGAGAAGATACTGGCAAATGAGAGAACTCTTGTTGAATGGCTCCCATTTACTCAATGAAGTAAGAGTTAAGGCCAAATGATACCTTTAGGATTTTAGAAAGCTTTATTTTGAATTGATTATCACTGGAGTAAGATCAGATACTTTCTGTTTATACACTATGGCTCACAAGCATGGATTTAACTTTTGTTTTTAAACAAATATTGCTACTAGGCAATATGGGCATCAGTTTTTAGACTGTAATTTGCCAAAGAGCAGGAAAAGTGTCTTTTAAATGAATGCCATTTAGAGATGATGGCTGTCAAATAAAAACTTTATACAGAACTTTTAAGGTATAGCTTTGTAGAGTAAATGTATTTGTGACAAATACATTTGTCTCTGAGGTAGAAAAAGTCATTGATTTTTCTCCTCTTTGTGTTCAGTATTACACATATATATGTCTTTTCACCTTGATAAAAGAAAAGTAAGTTATAAATAACAACCTTAAAAGATTCCTCAGGATGCCAGCACACACTCATTCCAGGGGAATTAAGAGCAAAATGAGATGTCTGTACTCCATCCAAGTTCCAAATCCTAGGAAAAGAAAAGTGGTACAACTTTAAATATTTTTGATATATCACTACTAAAAAAATACAATTTCCAGAATTTATCCAAAGCCATTAACTAAAGATTACAATGTAGACATTTGTACTTAAAGTATACCTTTCAAGGAAAATGATAATTATTTTAGAAATTTGTGAAAGCAGTATGAAGAATTTAACTTTTACCATACTCAATCACAGAAAAAGTCACATACATTTTTCTCATTAATTAATTTAACACCGTAACACCTATAACCAAATTATTCCTATATTCCTTTTTTTGTGGACAAAATCTTAAACTAATCAGGTTGAATTTCTGCATCAGTAGGCATTTCTCAAAGGTGGCCTTGATGGATAGCTACATTAAAGGTGAACTGAAGAAAAAAACACCTGGTTCCTCCCTCTCTCTAATTTTTCCATATCCATAGTAACAAGAACCAAGCTAATCACTGACATGGCTTTCTATTTCAATTTCTTTCCTATCCTGAGTGGAGACCAAAACTCAGAAATCTCGCTTTATTGTGAGAAGTGCTATCCCCAACCCAGACTAATGGTTTTCCAGCTCATTCTTCATACTCAGCTGCTATTATGTCTCAGTGGTACAGAGTGTGGCATAGAGTTAGCATGGCAGGAGACAGAAATTGGTGGGTCGTTGGCAAAGTGCCCACAAAATTCTGGTCTTAAGAATTGAACTCACTCATTAGAATGCCTTGGACATTTCCTTCTAGGTTTTAGTGTTCACACTTCATTAGGAACCATACATAATTTCAACAAACTTAAAGAATATAGCTTTAAAGTCTAGGCAAAGTGTATTTCAATAAAGGAAGACATATTTATTAAAAATGTAACTATTCTGTACCAAAACCACTTTTCTTCCTCGAAGAAATTATAGGGTCTCCAATCTTGAAATATTATAGTAACATATAAACTAATATAATAAATATTTTTCAAAATAATTATTTATTTAATTAGATAATTTAGAAGCATACTCTTTTCTCTTGCCAAATCAACACTTTATATCGCTATGTACTATATAAGAGAAAGAATTACAATTTAAGAGGGGAATCACTTTTACCAAGGGTTTCTGCAATTGTGTTTCACTCCCCTCAATGAAGAAGATAATTAATATGGCAACTGAGTATTTTTTTTCTCCTCCATTGCCTTTTTTATAATAAAGTACTGGGCTGGCATGTATTTTTTATCATGATTGAAATAGTAGGAATCTATTGCAAATTCAGCGAGTCCCATGAGAAATGATTTAAAGGCTCCATTCCTTTGATCTTATTCTATTATGTATTTGATTCTTGTTTGCAATTATATAAATTAAATACATATCAGAATATTTTCATGATTTTTTCCCCTTTCAAATGAAGGAAATCAAGAGATAGAAAATATGGATAAAGATATTTGATAAAAACAGGTCAATTAATGAAGTGTATTCCTGTACTAGAAATAAAATATTTCCACAGTATTTTGTCCTAAACAGAACCTGGCACTTTAAAAAACAAAACTGACTTAAAAATGAGGAGGATGATCCAGATTACTTTATAGGTCTAGGATAAAATGATTTATGGCTTATAATTATATACCTATTAAATAATTCTCATACGCCAAGTATCAAATATACACAATACAACAAATTGGGATGAAATGAGTTATCATAACCAAATTATCGTTGCAGATGGTACACTTTAGGTTATTAAATTTTATTTCCCTTTTTGATAGATTCCATAATTAAGCTCTTATCAAATCCTTTTGTGGAGCTCAACACATTTTTCAGTGTCTTTACTACATAGCTCATCTAGTTAATAACAGTTCCATCATATAAAGTCAATTTCTTTTGTTTAAAATATTTTTACAGTACAGCATACATAATAAAAATACAAATCGTGAGCATAAAATTCAAAGAACACACTCAAAGAAAACGGTACCCAACTTAAGAAACCAAGTATTTTCAAAACTCCAAAAGTCATCTTGCGCTTCCTTCCAGTAATATTTTCTTGCCCTCACCGAGGTATCACTATCCTGACTTTTAACACTATAGCTTACTTTTGCCTCTTTTGAAGATCATATAAATGGAATCTTATGGTATGGATTTTCTTGTTCTGGTATCTTCCTTTCAACATTAGATTTTGTGATGTTTACCCACAGTGCTACAGGCAGTACTTTGCTCATTCTAAGTGCTGTATGTACTATTCCATTAACTAAATAATCCGCAATGTACTTATTCATACTACTATTGATAAACATTTATTTCCAAATTTGGCCCATTATCAATAATGCTGCTACAAACCTTCTTGTACATCTTTTAGTGAGGACAGATACCCCTCTCCCCCTTTACACACAAAACACACAAACCAACCCACTTTCTGGGTACATGCTCAGGCATGGAATTGCTGGGTAATAGCTTACAGATATGTTCAACTTTAGCAGGTATTGTCAAATAGGTTTCCAAACTGTCTTACCTCACTTTTTTCCCTTTCACATTTCTTTATTGATGACCAACTGAAAAGGCCTACATTTTCTCTAACACATTTTCTGACAAAAATAGCCTGAAAAGAACCATTTGTTAAATGACAAAAGGCACAACTTTTTAGTTGGTCTTATTTGTAAAGTAGATTTCTCAAAACACCCCTTTCTTCTTGCATTTTATTTTTCATGTATATATATATATATGGATAGATTTGCATCCATTTAAAAACACAATGAACACATTTATACAGTAGGAGCTCTCTTAAGTTAGCTCCTTCTGACACTCTTCCTTTGTCTCTCTGTAGAACTGAAGAGGAAAAGAAGCACTTTTCTTCTAACATTCTTGCACATGCATTTTGTAGCCTGACCAAGAGGGACTATGGGTTCATTGCGAGCAAATCAGTTTGTAAGTGATGTCAGCCCATATTTATTAATGTGATTAAGTAATATTATATAAGCTGACAGAATATGAATGTGAAAGAGCTATTTCAATGAAACTAAGTTGATAACAACTAACGGTATCTAAACTTAAAAAGCATTCATAAATTAGGCATGTATGACAATCACAGAAGATTAAGCAATAAATGTTATAAAAATCTAGATATATTTGAATTAAGACTGCTTAGCAAGTGTTTTCATTGTAGGCACTGTATCATGGGTGTGGATCATGTAAAAAGAGGTCACTAAGACTAGTCAATGGTTTCATAACTTAAGGAAAGAGAAAGCCTTGCCCTCCTGCTAAAAGGTTGGCAAAGCTGACAAATTTTCATATGTATGTTGTATAAGAAAATAAGGTAGGTAGACACTCCTTTAAAATGATTTCCTGAAAAAAAAGGAGGACCTATGTAATATCTTCAATAATAAAGATTAAAAAAAAAAATTTCCTGAGTTTACTGATTCTTTTTATCTAAGGAACAACAGATTTAGACCATGTCAGATAAGAGTTTCTTTTAATATTTCCAAATATATTGTGAACACATCCTATTTAATAAAAGGGTAATATGCAAGTTAACCATCACTCCATCACAAAGATAGTAGCACCCATAGCCACAAGATGGCAGTGCCCAGTCCTCTCAGCCCTGCAGGAGTCCCCACTCATTGCAGGGGGGAAGGGGAGAAGAAGGCTGCTGAAAGCAGACTGCATGAGCAGCCTGGCAGAATGCTAGCTTTGTGCTGCGCCTGGCCCGCCTTGGGCGGCTTACTGCATGTGACATAGTTTATGTAAAATAAAATTATCTAAAAGTTAATTATCACCACAGAAACATAATTAACAAAAGTGGTACATTACAGAAGGAGAAAAGCTGTAAGAGTTTATAGCCTTAAGACACACAATCAACTGCATGAAAAGACAAAAGATTATTTACAAAAGTATAAAAATATAACATTAACAAGATAAACTACCTTGATAAAAAAAAATTAGGAGCAATATGAAGAATATATATATATATATATATATACTTAAATGTCTGCAAGGACAATTTCAAGGTAAAGGCTTTCAAGATAAAGTTAATCTGCTGACATATTAATAAGCCAATAATATAAACTGAATCAAAGGGCATCACTCTTCAAGTAAAATAAAATGACACTTTTGAACCAATTTGACTATAACGAACATCTCCAACCCCTCACCACTCTGTAGTCCTAAGTAGAACTCTTAGATTTAGCTGTAAAATGTATGGAGAAAGAGCTATGATTATAAATTACAATTACTTTACTTTTTGGCAGTTTAGTGTTAAAATCATTTGGTAGTTTATTATTAAATCATTTCAGGTTGAGCACTTTTCAGCAGAACATTACATATTTCTACCATATATTATTTAAATGTAGTTGTCCCATTTAATTAATAAAAAGATCCCACAAATTGGCTGTTGTCATATTGAGAATATCCTAGATATTCTTCAGGCCTTTTAAATTGAAAATTATAATAGTAGAGGGAGATGTTCCCTCTGAGAATTTAAAGGGAAACTTCCTGGGTAATACTTTGTTTTTTAAAATTTGTTTGTTCTCTATTTTTAATTGGCAGCTCATTGTCTGTTAGGAAGTTCATTGTGTAAGGAAATTTCTGCTGCCAAATGTTCATGACTAAGAACATCAGACAAAAAAAGGAATATATAACATTAAATGACGCATCTGTATCCATTTGGCCTTCTGTAACTGATCAAGCAAAAAATACAAATCACAATCTGAAAAACATGGCTGAATCACATGAACCTCTGCATTAATTAAGTATGAAAGTAAGAACAAAAGTAATACCGAGATGTAATTATAAGGATGAGAAGGCACTTTACAATGTTTATGGGCGTAGGAAAGGAACCTCCGACACTTATAGACAAAAACATTTTTTACTAAATTTGTGATAGCAAAATGAAGATCCCCCACCCAATTCTAAGTAATTAACTTAGAGAAGTAACTTAGAGAAGTTACTTATCATGCTATGGATGATTCAAAAAAGAAAAAGATATGGTGTACTTTCTTAATCAATTAGAAAAAAAAACAAGTTACAAAAAAATTTGGTGTTAA